GAGGTGCCGTTCACACAGGTGACAGTGGGGCACAGCAGCCCGCGGAGCTGTGTGACACGGCACCCTAGGTCGCACCGCTGTGCATCATTCCTTCTGGATTGCTTTACAGAGGCCTGGAATCAATTAAATAATGAAAAGTCTTGAATGAAGCAAAGTATTAGTAATCGCTTCCGTTAAAAAAACTTGTAATATCTCGAAAACCTTTTTCCTCCTGCGAACTACCAAATGAACACTTTTTTTCTGATGGCCTTTTTGTTATTGCTGCAGTGGGAGTGTTGCAGACACCTCCGTTCCTTCCGCGGGCCCTCACTGAGCGGCTGCTGTGCAGCTGGTATTGCTCTGAGAGCTAGGGGCAGAAGGCGCTCTTACACTCCAGCGGCCGGGCGGCCAGGAAATAAACCAAGTGCTGTGTGTGGCATATGTCAGCTGGTGCTAAGTGCTACAAAGGTAAGTGAAACACGATTAAGTAGAGAGACACCAGCTACAAAATGGGAAGTGAGAACTTCAAGTGCAAGGGTTTGCCTAGTGGAAGCCAATGAACTTCCCACCACCCACTCTCCTCCGGTCCCCATCCTCACACAATTAAACGGCTTGGGGGTCTACACTGGGTTTCTCCTTTGAAACTCAAGGGTTTTCTTTCTTCAGTCACCCCTAAAAACCACCCCGATAACAAACGCTAATATTTCACACGGTTGCCTCTGACCATCTGATCTAGGTGAAAGGACAGGAGCGTGTCCAGACTATGGGCGGAGGGGAGGGAAGAGCCATGATGACCCCAATTTCAAGACTGTGTTAGATATTTAGAAACCCAGTGTGTCTCTTAACACTCCCCTCTCCTCTCCACTGCGTCCACGCAGAAATACTCTTCCACATGGGCGCGCAGGAACACGCAGCGACGCAGCTGTCCTATATTCAGAATTAACCGAGGAGTACGTTGTCCCTGAAAAACTGACATACAGTTTTCCCTCACAGTTCACAACTGAGGTAGCACATCCTTGACCGAGCCCTCCAGGGGCTGCCTGGGAAGAGGGGGGGGTGCTGCAGGGGGAGCTGGGGGGCTGTGCTTTCTTAACGTATGTAGGTTGGTGCATTTCCTGCCCTCCAACACCATCTCCAGTTGGCTCGGAGGGAATCAAATAATGAGAGTGAATCCTTCACTGATCATGAATCTCCCTTTCCCCCGACACACACAGAGAGAGAGAGAGAGAGAGAGAGAGGAGAGAGAAATCCATCCATCTCTTGGGAGTGAATTTGCATGAATGTGACCCCACCCACCGGCAAAGCTGCAAGTTCGCACAGCTCCAGCCCTGGACTGAAAGGCCTTTGTGTGGGGCGTTACCTGGTACCGAGCAGAGGCCACTGGAAACCGGTCTCACCAGTGTGGCTAGGAGACAGACGCAAACTTCTCAGAGGTTTCTCCAAGTGTGGCAGACACAGACAGCCTGGTTTCCTTGAAGGAGTCACGGGAAAGGTCAGCCTAGTCTAGTGGCAGAGGGACGACACCACTGGAAACCATTAGGCACGTGGCCACATAAGCATGCTGTACTGGGGAGATGCCATGGCCGAGGTCTGTAAAAAGTGCCCGTGGTGAAAAGCGGGCAGAGAAGGCTTCCAAGGAGAGGTGACATTTAAGTCGAGGTGAGAGGGAGCATTTGCCAAAGGGATGGTTTCAGAAGCTGAACCTTTGGAAAATGTCTTAAATGTCATAAAACCCCACTGAAGAAATCTTCTTAAATCACAAGAGTATGGAATATTTATTAAGAAAGAAAAATCTTAGATGTTTGAATATAGCTCGCAGAGATGAAGAAGAAACTTGTAAAGGAAACTGTGATAGCGTATTCTGACTCCAACTGCAGTATCCTGTTTAAGCTTTATAGCTGTAACTGCCTGCGTTTTTAAAACAATATTATTCAGAAATTACAAAACAAAACATCTAGAACAATAGCTTCTCTGCCTTGAAAACAAGGTATTTTGCACAAATATAACGTGGCTCATGCATAGAGATTTCAGGCATTCCAAACAATGCTAAATTCTCTTATTTATTCACAAGTTTATCCGCAGTGACTGGGGAGCGAGGACTATTGGAACATCTGTGATTCAAAAGAAACACTTCATAACTAAAGTTGATTGCCTGGTCACCATTTGACCCAGCAGTTCCATTCCTAAGAATACGCCTAAAAGAAAGAAACACATCCGCATAGAAACACTGTACACAAATGCTCACGGCAGCGTGACACACAGTAGCCAAAATGCACAAACAGTCCACACGCCCGTCAGCTGGTGAGTGGAGAGGGAAATACGGCACATCCACGCAGTGGAGCATTATTGGGCTGTCAAAAGGAAAGCAGTGCTGACGCATGCCACGGAATGCTGAGGCTTGGGGACATTCCAGTACACGAAAGCAGCCAGTCACAAAAGACCACATATTGTCTGATCCCATTTGCATGAAAAGTCCAGGAAAGACAAATGTATAGAAACAGAAAGTAGATTCCTGGTTTCCCAGGGCTGGAAGGTGGAGGTGGGGAGTGACAGCTAACGGGTAGGGGGTATCTTTCTGGGGTGATGAAACTGTTCTAAACTTAGATTGTGGTGATGCTTGTACAGCTCTGGATTTACTAAAACCTTTGACTTGACCCTTTAAATGGATAAATTTTATTGTATGTGAATTATACCCCAATAAAGATGTTTAAAAGAAAGTTGATTACACTAACCTTAATCTAAAAAAAAAAAAAAAAAAAAA